TTATTCAATTAATCGCGTTTTCTTTTGCGAAGAGTCAGTAATCTCAATGAACCATCAATAAATTGTCCCGTTTTGACCAAGAATAACACACTGTTCTTTTGTCGTAAGCAAAAGGGCTGCCAGATGAAGTGAATCAAAGTTTCAAGCTACCCTGTCACGTAAACCGTCCAGTGACCGCAGAGGCAAGGGACAATAATTCGAAATTTGAAAGAAGTTCTTGGAGGTAAATCTGCGTACGATTGAGAAGGCTCTCTCTGCGCAGTGGCTAAGGCTGCCTACTGTAAATCTGAGGTGTGATTTCTAATGGTCAAGGGACTCGGATATTCAAGCCTTGCTGTCCTTGAAGTAAAAGCGACAAATTTTCATCAATTGTATCTGCATGAATTCAAAAATAGTCAATCAAAGTTTCGCTCGCTCTTCATTCAAATCTTCCAACATATTTTGTGGCCTGTAATCGTTTTTGACAGCCTTTCCTTTTGCCCTATTTTTTGGGCTTCCATACTCGCATGGAAAATGTTGCATATTTCCCGGCGTTCTTGATGCTCCGTTAAACCGTACTGTTGAGTTTCTAACTGTGCTATCCTCGAAACAGTGAATTGGCACAAACGTCATGAGATACTTCTGTGATGAACCATGGTCAAAATCTGTTTCACAGCTTCACCAGGGTTAAGACTGTGGGTTGAGTTTGGAATAATTCCATCAAATTACCATAGAAATATGTAAATAAAGCAACCATTCTTTGCTATGTTTCTGAAAGAAATCACTGTTGTAAAGTGCCTATGACCTTGCGTTATAAAATCGCACTGCTGATGGCGCTCCTTATTCTTTGTCAGGGCGGTCCAGTGTTGCAAAGGTCACCCAGTTACGAATCTGGACTGAAGGAAATTGGGGCGGGGGGGGGCGAAACACTGTCGATCGAAGACCCAGGTCGTTTGCACTTTGAACGGAAGAGAGGAATGACTGTAAGCAAGACTTCTGGATGACATCAGGAAAGGGAAAGAAAATAAAACCCATTGTGTATCTTGTATTCTCTAGACCCTAAAAGAAACGGATGCATTGACCTTGCCCAATACTACATATCCCCGTTACTCTTCGAACGAAGCATAACACGTGTTATATTACATATGTTGCGCAAACTATATTGGTACTCTTCACTTCACTTTCCTTGACCTCTTCTTCTTTTGGGTGGTGGAGACAGACGAGTCAGACAACGCTTCCAACATTCTCGATCCTATGCCAACGTCTGAGTTTCAGCAGAAGACTACCGGAGTTTAAAGCAGACTCTTTGTATAGAGATTCTGATAATTAAATTGCATTTCAATTACTCATACCGAGTTTGTACAACGTATCACTCATCTGCTTTGAGTTACTTAAGGAGAGCATTTAAGCACGTGACTACTCCGTGGCATTCAAGCTTCTGCAGAGTATCGGGTGCAATATCACATCTTTGAATTTAGCTGAACAGGGGCATTTTCATGCAACAACAAAATTTGCCTCTCCACAAAAAATGGACAAATGATATTAAATAAAATTTAACCTTGCTGTTCCGGGATATCTACCGCAAATGACAGCATTCCAACTCCTATGCTTCTTCCTGGTGACTAGAAAACCCATCCAAATCTGGCATTGGCAAGTGAAATGTAATATCTACCGACGGAATCGGAAAGCTGCCATCGCGTTAAGGTTTCCTCAAGACATTGGGGTCATGTTTTTTTGTCTAGAAAATTAAATTAATCAATTACTAATTTTGATTGCAGTCGCCGCGACTGATCCAAAGATTAATGTTGCTCAAGCTGACAGGATCGATAAGCTTCGACAGGCGGTACAGTCCGCTTCTTGGTATAGAGCATATAAATGACAATGTAATGAAATCTGAATCACTCGACACAGCTGAGGAACGATGATATCATAATCCAATCGACCTTGCTGATAGTACAAAAGTAAAGTATGGAGGAGTATTTACAGTGTATTATAGCTTACTATATATTGCATGGTACAGTATTATATAGTATAGTACGGCATAGTAGTCAGTACAACATAATAAATACAATATATACTATAGTATAGTGTAGCATGGTACAACTAGAACTGAACAGTGTACCGTAGATAGTATAGTATTGCATGACATAATTAAGTATCACTTGGATCTGCCGGCGGATAATCAGCGACGAATCGTAAATTCAAGCCATCCCCCACCTAGAACGACTTTGCCTACTCTTGATGTAGTCTTTCTACCATTGTGAAGAGTGATCGAGCGTCCTAGTCCGCTCTTGAAGGTACAAGTCAGCATCATCTCTGACCGTCTCCCGTTAGCGAACCGGGCTACGTGCCCAGCTCAACGTAACTTCCTCTTTCCACTTTCAGTGATGATGTCCGTCACACCCTTCCGCTGTCTGATCATCATTGGACATGTAGTCGCGACGTGAGATTCCAAAATTTTTCTTTTCATGGGTTGTCAGTGACAGATAGCTGGCGCTCTTCAGCTTTCGTGAGTGAGAAGATCTCGATGGCGTATAGAATCGAGGGGAAGGGGGATCGAATGGAAAAAGTGCTGGCACCTTGCCTAGTGTTGTCCATGAGGCGTTCTTAGTGGAATCGAAAGCTTGCCAGTTGACTCTGTTTGGTCAACATCAGAAATATGGTATAACATAATATAGTTTGATGGTAAAGTACAGTGTAAGATTTTGATATAACATATTTTGCATTTTTTGCTTACTAGATATGTGTAGCGTTATCATTGTCTCTGCACAATCTCTGCTCAGCTTCTCATGTCAGAAAACGAGCAACGTTTATGACAGGGATCACCTAGCATGAAAAAGGCAAAGTGCAGGCAAATGCCTCTCAGCTCTTATGGTACAGAAGAAGGACTACATGAATAGAGAAACACCGAATTAACAAGTCAGCAGCAGATGGAGTTCACAATGTTCCTTATACTTTAGGGCTTGAAGACTAGTTGATATAGCAAACCAAAATTCCGTTACGGTACTAATCCTTCCACTCAGATTAGTTGGCAGAATGTCCTTCCTTTGGTGTCTTGTGGTCAGAGGCTGCCTCAATTGCATAACGAGCTTAAGTGGCATTGCGGCCACCAAAGCTCCTCATATCTCTATGAAAGTTCTTTTGACAGGAACAACTTTGACTGCATACTCAGAAACGCTATCACACGTGATGATCTCTAGGGACAGGGCTGTAACATTTCTTTCGCTGCACCATGTGAAATAAGCGATGATGGTGCCTGAACAAAGTCGACAAAAAAACCTAGCAAATTCTTAATAAGCGATGCCGGGGAATGAAAAAAAATTTATACTCTTCTTGCCGCTTGAAAGGTCGAACCGAGAAAGAAGCTTTTGAAACCGTTAATTCGTACGGCCAACTTTTTGAACGGTCAGTGATGTTTATTCCTTGCTAAGATTAGCTTCCTTGAAAGTAAATTATATAGACTTTGATATAAAATCCTTGATTTTTCCGTTGACCTCTACCTTGTGATACAACACTGACTGGAACGGGTGTTCAATGGTAAGAAATCGGCTTAAAAATTCGCAGGTGCTGCGTTCGAATCTCGACAAAGGATTTGTGTAGCTCCCGTTTCCGTTGAGCAAGGAATTTATCCCTCATTGCTTTGGGTCTACCAGATGAGAAATTGGCATTAACTAGTTAACTCACGAACAATTTTGACATTGTGGCCCTCTGATGTGTTAAAGTTGGACTCATTGAATTGTAAGGGTAGGGGCCGTGCTGTCTGAAGTGAGCTCCTCTGAATACAGCAATTCTACTTCATCCACTTGATGGCTGACTATCCAGTGTGACGGTTAGCACCGGACATTAACCTGATTATTTTTATGAGGTCCTCCGACAACCATTCTTACCCTTCTTCCTGAAACATGGTCAGGTGCTCTAGCCTATGACATTGGACCTAAGTTTGGTCGTGCTTGCAGTAAGCCTGTTATTGATTTGATGAAGGAGAGAAAGGAAAACTTGTAACCGTTAGAATATCAACCTTCCTTGCTCTGACATGATGGGTGCATTTATGGTGCATGTCTTTTCACGAAGTCAGTGGTGGACCGCTGATCTTCATTTCCATGCCATCAGCCTGGAGTGTCTTATTTAAAAAGCAAAGTAACAGCAGCTAAGTGGCAAGCATAGTGTCTGGTCTTCTATATCTTTCTCGCTAAGTGGTACTCGATTATCATCACGGAAAGAAGAAGAACCAGTGACCCAACTGAGGATCGACCTTAAAATCCCTCGGTTCTGAGTCAAATACTTTTGGTGAGCTCGACCTGCAAATTCCTTATTTTACCCTGATGCTGCGGTAATATATGACCAGTAGTAGTCCTAACACGTGATTGCACCGTGTTACTGCACCGCTTTCTTGATTTTTATCGCATAGGG